GTGCTATGAAATTGTTTAATCTCATCAAGTTCTGCTTTCACAGCAGGCCATAAATCACATAGTCTTTGTTATCATAGACCTCCATGAGCGCCTCTGAGGCAGGCAATGGATCGTGGGTATATATAATCTTGACTGCGCAAACAGCAGGGTCTGAGCAGCCTGAAATACTTTCATATTAGCCGCGGTGCAGCTGGCGGAACACAAGCGCCCTGATGTATATCTCATTTCCTGCGCTCTGCATCTATTTCGAGCAAATTATTACTGCATACATTTGTTGTTACATCTAAACACCAAACAGGAGAGCCAGGGCAATTTTCCACTGAGTGAATTTACCGCAGGGGTCACTGTAATGAATGATTTGAAACTTTGTCATTCAGTGGAAAATTGCCCTGGCTCTCCTGTTTGGTGTTTAGATGTAACAACNGAAAAAGGGGTACATACAATGAGGACTTATACAAGTGGACCACGGGACACCACAGAGGGGGGGGGGGGGGTAGGGGGTGGACACAGAATTAACGATAATCACACACCATAAATCCGAAGCAAAGGGCACAGACACACGACCATCACAACACTCTAGGACCGAACACTGACACATGCAACCGTCTCTACTCGCACAGTATATAAATACTCTCGGGTTGCCAACATAACTTAAGACGGAGGAACGACGCCCGGCGAGTTAACAGTCGAAGTGTTTGTTCGAATTAGTACATGTGTCCGCTATTCTATTAAGACACACAGAAGGACGCGATACAAAATTGGATGTGCGGTCATCGAGCCGAATATCAACTTAAACTAAATCAAAGGTGTATAGAGTTACACGAACTAAGAAGGAATTTTTTTGGACCGTCCGCCCGAACTCTTCGCACAGTGTTAGTAAACTTAATATCACAGTGCTAGACGGAAAAATAACTACTAGGTGCCTTTCGAGTAATCTACTATCCCAATCTTTACTTAGCTTTACTTTAGAGGGGGGGGTTGTGTTGTCGTCTCTCCCTGCTACTTACTGACTATCCTAACCAAACAACAAAATACACACAAGACTAAATTGGTTTTGTAATAATAATTTCCTATAAATTCAAATCAAGATTGGTTCCCTGGTAGAAGATCTTCCGTAGTTTCGTTAGGCCACGGCCCTCTCAGATATGTGTAGTAATTATACAACTGATGACACCTACTGTTATTCTTTTAGAAGAAAAAATATATAAGATGTCTAGGAGTTAACTCGCCGGAAGGACTGACGATTCGTCTTGTTGTGTCGACGACTGTCTTTTCCTATATCTCTCATCGTTTTCCTCCAAGTAACGTTGCTGTCGCCGAGGGACTATCACGATAGAGTTAATATAACAAAGTATTATAACTTCGATGGTCAGAATAACTTTATTTTACACTACTAAGGGTCGGTTCCGGTGTTGAGTTCGTGTCGACTTACTTAAATCAAGTGGCGCAATTTGTACTTCGCAAGATCTTCGTCACTCACACCCACCTCACGAAGTTATGAGACCAACTAGTGAATGTGATTTAATCAAATTGACAACTTCCAGACCGTCCTCTGTGAACGGACTTCTCGTATCTCTTCAGTAAAGAGATAGTAATCCAACACGTTGTTTCTCACAAGACAAAAGACGGCAAAGAAACCGTAGTCCTCAAAGGAGATCGCTCCCGAAGGGTGTCGTCGCAAAACAAAACCACCACACTAACGAAAAGACACGCTACGTCAGAGTCTAAGACAGTCTGTCCGGACACTCCAAATCTACGATATATAAGGAGAATCCTCAATTATTAATCAACGAGTTAACTGCTTTATCCAACACATACATCTCCAAGTGTTTTCTAAGCCAAGCCAGCTGGACCAAAAAACAGCAAAGCATATCGTCTTTTTTATGTGTTTGAATTTAACTTATTGCATAAGTGATTTATTTAGTTTTATATTTATTTAATCCACGTCGTAAAGCTCTTGACTTTATTAGACATAAAACTTGAAATGACATGACATGAGTGTTTATTGATAACAAAAATAAAAATAATTAATAATATTTGAACTATTACAAGTGAGTTATTTATGTTTTTATATTATTTATTGTAATTCCACGTCGTAAAATTACTTGAACTTTTATAGACATAAACTGACATGACATGATCATGATTCATCGGCAAACAGTCATAAAGTAACATAAAAAAAATTTCTTTTACTTGAAAGGTGTACGAACGCTTTCTCCGTCTAGACGACCGTGATTGTTAATCCCCCGTGCTTACCCTTTAGAACCGGGCTTGCTTTTATCCTTTGTCACCGGCTTGCTACGCTTTAACTAATTACCTTATAATTCATATATTACATATAAAAATGGTAAACAAGTCGACGGCACTAATACCTTTTCTGTACTAATACCGTTTTGATTAATTGAATTGGAATTGAATGAATGAATGAAATTAATTGTTAGATAATACCCAGGTATTTTGTAAAAAGGCGTGAAACTTACGTATGTCAGTAGTAAAAGGTTCATTCACGTAAAAGAAAGAGACACCTAATGAATTTTTCACTTAGTCTGTTCGGTTCCACGAAATTTTGACGTATTTTTAGATCCGGGTCATCGGATGTGGTTTTATCACATTTATTTCCTACATTGTCGTCCGAAGTTTGTTGTTTGTTTCGTGGGATATTCACGTAAACGTAATGTTTCACGTTTTTGACTATTTAGGTGTAACTTAATGATAAATTACTTTAATGGTTAACCTAAGTCTAAGACATTTTATTCCCGACGCAGGAGTAATTCGTTTCATCATTTGCAACAATTCTATGATTCACTTTTGCCATTTTAGGTGTTAGTTTAATGTTTAATTTAATTAAAGTCTGACCGTTATTCCACCAGAAAGGGAGTACTCGTTCATTGTTGTAACAAGTAAATCTATGCTTTTCATGTTATATAACTTGGGACACGCGCAGTAAAGGGGGATTACTTTTGACTCCTACCACTTAATATTGAGTGTTACCATTTTAACAGTCCTTACCCATATCTCATCTGTAACATCTTGATCTATTCGATACTATTCGGTCGGAACAGTTGAATATTCCCTTTTCACCCTCCAAGAAAATTACTGGAGGGTGAAAAGATTATTCATCGCTTCCGACCGAATAGTATTTAAATAAGATCAAGATGTACAGATGAGATAGGGTGAAAGCCACTGTAAAAGTAACACTCAACTATTAAGTGCGTAGAGTCAATAGAATCCCCTTTACTGCTCGTGTGTCACAAAGCTTAATAACATGAACCCAGCATAGATTAACTATGTTACCACACCAACGGTACTCCCTCTCCGTGAATAACCGTTAAGAACTTAACATAAATTAAAACATAAACTACACTAAAACAATAGGCAAGTAACATACATAGAAAATGTTCAATGATGAAAACGAAATACTCTGTCTGTCGAACCATGCTAACGAACTGGTAAGTTAACATTAAAAGTAACCCCACATTATCCAATTTAGTACACGCTAAATAGTCACCGTGAAACATAGTACTACAATATCACCGTAAACAACAACACTTCCGGGGCGACGAAAATGCTCAGAACATAAATGGCTCGAAAAACCCCATCCCGGATGCGGATCCCTACAAAGCATACGCTCACAAATTTCGGAACGAAACCAAAAACAAGCCACAAGCATTACGTGAAACAATATCAATAGATGTCTCTTCTCCTCCACCCTCCTCTCCAGTACCTTGCAAACATAACAGACGTCTCCCCACTCACGCTTATTTACAAAATACCCTGGCGCTATAAACTAACCAATTCATTCAATCAATCAAATTCAAATTCAATTCAATCAATCAAAAACGGTATTATACAGAAAGGGTATGTCGTCGACGCTGTTGCACCATTTTTTTACATATGGTAATTCATATAAATATAAAGATAATTAGTAAGCGTAGCCAAACAGCGTTGACAAAGATTAAAAGCATCAGCGGCACTTCCTAAAGGTAGCCACGTGGCGGATTAACAAATCACGGTCGTCTTTTCAAAATAAAACCACATGTGCAATAGTACAAGGCCCGAAGCCGTCAGTCCACAGTGACAAAGTTACCTTCGTCACATTGTTAAACAGGTATACTGATAAAATAAAATGCTTTTCCACTCGTAAAGGTGTTATTGCACTTACAGTAATAATGACTGTAGTTGACTTCAACTTGAGTTTACTTTAGTTATCTTCACTTCACCCGGTCTGATGCACTGACTCCTTCACTATTGTGCTGTTTACAGATACAGATAAAGTCCTGGTTACATAAGAACTTATCAATATTGTCTGTTGTAAATAAGCCCATGTAAGACTTAATTTGAACCTCAACAGAACCAGAGCCAAGGCTATAAATCAGGGATGTCCCCCCCCCCCATTGAGTCAGCTGCTATACATTGACAGACTTCTAAAGGCAGGGACGAGCTGCAAGTATCTCACTGGTGGATACTGATGTCCACCAGTTGGTCCTTCACTTGATGGCAGAAATGTAGCACTGCATTGCAATTAAGGTTGAATTTATATGTAATTATTCCTGTGATATTTATATATTGCATTTAAAAGTCAGTTTTCTAATATGGTACAGCCCTGATAGGCCTTTGTTAGATGGTATAACAACATGGAAGTGAAAGTTGCTCTGTTTATTTGAATATGGCAGTGCAATAATATAAATCTTTTTTTTCACTTAAAACAATAAAAGAATTGTGATAAACAATCGTATCCTCAATATTGATCAAAAATAATCACGGTTATGGTTTTCTCTATAATCATGCAGGATAATGTGTAGTTGCTTTTTAAGCGTGAGTATTTTGTAATATTCTAAGATGTATATGGATGCAGTTGAACGTAACTAAAAAGACTACAAATCATGAAATGACATAAAAGGATAAGTGCCCCCCCACACACATTATCTGATTATAATAATAATAATAATAATAACTTTTATTTATATAGCGCTTTTCAATAACCCAAAGTCGCTTACAAAAAAAATTAAAAGTACAGAAAGGGGGTGAACAGGCAGAAGACAACATATTGGACAAGAAAATTGAACATGAACATTACATGAACAGGCAAAGGACAACACAGGGGGGGAGCAAGCATCTGATCTATTACCTTATCACTGACTGTCCCCACCCTGCAACCACTGAGGCTTCACCAATATAGGTCTAGGCTAGCCTGCTTTATAACCAGACATTGAGCAGCAGCTTTCAGTACTGATTATTTTGTTAATGATTAAACTATGTTTAAGTTCACTTATGAATCTCATCTCCCATCAATTACAACGCCCCTGGGATCAGCAGTTCCGACTTCCTGCTGCCTTTAAGCCTTTCTTTAAACATGAACAACACTAACACTCTATCACCTAGACTCTCTTACAATTAACATTCAAGACGTGTCTTTTGGCTGGCTACACCTGTACTGTAAGGTAGAAAAACACTGACATTATAGGTGTATTAGGAAGTGTCCGGCCGGAGCAACGTGCCCGCTCCACTTCCTTATATGAGCAAGCTGTACTTCTCTCTTCTCTCAGGCTCAAATGGCTGCCAGCGGCAGGAGGCATGTTTCACATTTAGACATGTTTCTGGAAGTGTTGTGGCAGACTCTCACACACTCACGTTTTGAACATCTTCTCCATGTCCTTGATCTGGCCCCGGGAGAACTCTTTGAACTCGGTGTAGGGGTTTAACACCTTCATGCTGGGCTGCTGGTGTTCCCCCTGCCCCTCGTTCAGCTCCTCTCTCCGCTGTAGCTTCGCGCCGAGCTCCGAGTCTGCGTTGGCTGTACTCGGTTTGTCTTCCGAGCTATCCTGGGTCCCAAAGAGGTCCACAGCAACAGGCTCCTCGGCTCCTTCTTCTATCTGGAGCCGGCGGCTGAGCTTGGACGAGAGCTCGTCTGTGGCCATGTTTCAGACTGATTGTAATAATGAGGAGAGCGTTATATAGCTGACTGACGGTACAGTAAAGGAGAAAGCTGACTTATAAACAGCCTTATGTTTGGTTGCCTCCCCCTACCTACACTGTGTACTGTGTACGGATATATGTAAGAGGCAAAGCAAAATATACAAATATTCTTACTTTTCTAGCTTTTTTTATTTCCAGGGCTCTAGCTCCAAGTTCAGACAGATGCCTTCACTTCAGGATGTTGTATTGGGCTCATTAGCTACGTAGCATTCTTTCTGAGTCCTGTCACGCTGTCGCCACGCCTTTTAAAGAGGCAGTAGGCTACACAGGAGGAACAGGTGTTGGCCCATTCCCAAACCGCCCCCTGCACCCTACCCCTACTGTACACCCTACCCCTCCGTTTGCGCGTTCACGCGGAGGGTCCGCCATATTAAGGGCTGTTCCAAACCAACGAGTGTGGAGGGGGGGCTATCAAGCCCTCAAACAGCGAGTCTGCAGCGGTGCTGACTTGAGACCGGTGGTCTCTACCTGACCGGGGTCACGCTGTGTGTGTCCGTCAGGAAACACGTTGTTTACAAGTAGTTCCAGCAAACATCAACTGATAAACTGCGATGTTAACAACCTCATGATAACCTCATATGTTTTAACTTAGGATCATACAGTGTTTAGTTCTAGAAAAAGTTAAATGTGTGCATTTTATTATAAAGTTGTGTATATTTACAGACTGTTGCAAAAACTAAGAAGCTTATAAACATCAGGTTTAAAACTAAAAGAGCTTTACAAAAAAATAACAATGAAATATGTTTGGAGTTTTATTTGAGTAATTAATTTACATTTTTTGTCTAAGAGATCCTGATTTGAAACCGTTGTAACATACAGTAACGGCATTTCCTGTTTCTGCCGGAAAGAGGGAAGTCCGTCCCAAAGCTTGCCGCTGTATAAAGAGGCGAAGTCCCTCCCTTTCCGGGGGAGCTCATGGGACCCCGGAAGCGGAAAATTATACATTGAATTCAATGGAGAGAGAAAACGTATCTTTTGATCCCGTTTGAATTGTGCCACGAACTACACATATGATGTTTTTCAATTTAAAAGTAAACTACAATAGGTGCTCTAGGAGGAGATTCAGGTGATAGGTGGGGGGGGGGGGTTACCTTGGTTGGTGATTGGATAATGGTTACTGTGGCGGCTTCGGGCCTTGTACTATTGCACATGTGGTTTTATTTTGAAAAGTGTTTCCCTTTCCCCATGTATGTTACTCCTGATTATGTTCACCTGGTGCCCTGTGTTGTCTCCTC